TCCCGAGGGGTCCCAGACTGCGAGAGGGCACAGGCCGGGCTGGGAGACCCCCCTCCCCCGCCCCCTGAGTGCACAAATCTTTGTGCACCGGGCCTCTAGTATATAAAATATTTAGGCATAACCTTAACAAGACATGTGCAGAATCTATATAAAGAAAAATAGAAGTACTGTGTTTCTGCATCGAGACACTGAATATTAAAAGAATGTATTATTTTTTTCAGTTGAACGTACAGGTTTAATGCAATTTTAAGCAAATCCCAATGTGTCTGGAGTGGAGTGAAATGGTGTACTCAAAATCTGTTTAGAAGAATAAATGAGGATAACCAAGAAATTTTGAAAAAGAGAAATAATGAGAAGGCATTTATTGTACTATATCTTTAAGTATTTAAAGTATGAAAGATGAGCACTGAAGGAGAGATTGGTGTATGATTAAAGCACAACAAATCCATCATAAAGAATGAAGTATTATGTTATTGGTAATTGTGTTAACTATTTGGGGAAAATTATGTTGATTCCTACCTTAATAGAGCCTCAAATCTATTTGAAATAGCCCAAAATCTACCTTAGCATCTATCTAAAATAGATAGCCCAATGTATTCTAGATTAATTAAAAAGTGAAACACTAAAGTGACTTATAAAAACAGAAGAAACTATAGGTAAATTATTTACTGACCTAGGGATGAGAAAGAACTCTCTAAGCATATAAGCGGTAAAGGAAATCACCAAGGAAAATAACGGGCAGCAAAAGTTTCATAAAATTAAAAACATTATGCCAAAAGTCATAAATTTAAAAGGCTAAGTGGGGGGAAAAAATTAGCAACAACTATGACATCAAGGAATGGGATTTCTACTATATTCAATTAACACCTGAAAAAATATTGCAGTTTTGTTTATAATAACAAAGTAAAAATCACTAACATGATACAACTGATAGACTAATATGAAATTGCAAAATATTGTTTAAAGAGAATATTTAAGGAAAACAAAAATCCTTATGAATAAGATGTGTTATTTAAGGCATCTCAAAGATTATATTTCATATACACTTTAAAATCTAAAGTGCTGATGTATAATTATTGGCTAAAGAGTTTTTAAAATCTGTTCATTCTTGTTTCTTCTGCACTTTCACCCCACTCCCTAGATCCCTAGATCCTCACCCCTGCCACCCAAACCCAAAATAAGATCGTTGTATTGTTGGCAAAGTTTTGAAAAGCAAATGCTTTGGGATAAAATTTTTATTTTAAAATCTTCCATCAAATTCTGTATTCCTCCACTGTGGTCTCCAACCAATGAAGTAATTACTCTTTATATACGGTATATGACCCAAAACTGCAACGGGTAATAGAATTGCTCTGTGTTGCATTCCAATATTTCATACTTTTTTCACTAATGTTCAATACTTTATTAGTATAGAATAAATTGGTACATTTCTTTTATTGTCGTTTTTGCTTTCCTTTATAAACCAGCTTGGATGAAAGAAATATCATAGGGTAGTTAATCATCCAGAGGCCTGGTAGTCTCACTGGTTGTTTAAAAAAAAAAAAAAGCATTATTAAGGTTTCTTTTTGAAGATGTAAAAAAAAATTACCCATAAAAAAGAGCTATAACTATAAATCTGAGAACATGTGAGATTTATATTGTACAACTTTTTCTAATGATTCTATATAATTTTTAAAATCTTATTATATTTAAATAGTCTATAAAACATCAATAACTGCAACATGAAATACAATGATTCTTTAATAGTCACCTACTTTACTATCACATATCACAACAGATAGTTACTATATTTTTCCAAAGAAGTATCTTCTTCCTGGCTTTGCGATATTTAGGAAAATCTAAAGAGCTAAAGGATCTATAGGAGAGTTTGACATATTTGGAGAATGCTGTTAAATGACAAGTGCCTCCATTCACTGATTCTGTTCCAAATGGGAACAAGAAGCCAACAACATAGGTGTTGAGATATGTATTGAGGGTGTGGGCTCCTCATGCATCCTACAATGGTAATTAATGCTACGTAGGGCCTGCCAAAGTGGTCATTGTCAGCCCTGTTGACATTATAGAAAATGAATCTGTTGAACCCCTGTGCTCTATCAGTCACAGCAGGTATACAGAAAGTTTGCTTGAAATATTAATGTTATAAAATTGTTATTTCACTTTCTAGGCTGAGATTGTCTTAAGAGTGCAAGATTTGGCAGGGGGAGTGGGGAGGACAGGGACAATTGTTAAATCTTAACATCAGAACTAGCATAACATGGAACTGTCCCAGCAAACCAGGGCATCTGTTCACCTTACTTATTTCCTAGCAGAGGCATTCAGACTTGCCACCCCAAAGAGCTAATCTTGTTCATAATTTTGCTT